GTATGACTGCTGTTGGCGTATATGAAAGCCTCTGATTTGTGTGTATTGATTTTATATCCTGAGACTTTACTGAATTCATTTATCAATTCCAGGAGCCTCTTGGTTGAATCCATGGGGTTTTCTACATATAATATCACTGGCATTGTCTTTATTGTATAAATCTTTTCATTTAATTTTGCCTTTTTCATTTTGCATGATCAGATGCTAAGAGGAGTTAAAACACACCTACCTCTCATTTCAGAGACCCTGTTGCTATGATCTAAGTCAGGATTGGGGAAAGAGGGATACAGATCATTTTAACCAAGGGGAGTGTACATGGGAAGGAGCAGCCTGGTTGTCATTCTCAATTCTAGAAGATAGCACACATAAACTGGAAAAGAGTTCGCTTTCAGATTTCTCCCACTATTCCTTCAAGACTTCTTATGCTCTTGCCTCATTAAGAAAACTTTCTTGAGGTGGGGGGCACGGGATGGGGAAAAAAAAATTAGTGAGGTCTGTGTTGTGTAGCCTCTCTTCAAGGATTTACTTGATGACCACTCAGCCTGGGTTTGAAGGAACAGGGTTATAGTGAGGATGAAGAAGGTACTAAAATTTTTAAATAGTGAAACAAAAAATTAAAAGAATATAAATTTGGCCTAAAAAATGATTTAAATATGATTGGGTGTGTTTATACAAATTATGTGTATATTATATCATGTATATTCCATGTGATATAACAAAATCATGATTTCAGACCACCAATACCATTTTCTCTATCAAACAGGAGTCTTAATGTCTGCTTCTATCTCATTGCTAGTTTGATGGAGCAAGGGATTGTTTGCTTCAGCATTACAGAGTTCTTTTCTGCTAAGTTTTCTGTGCTTTGTGTTTTCTTAAAAGATCGGGAATAAACTTCAATGGGTTGTCAATAGTTCAGAGACATTGACTTGAATTAGGTGGCCCATATTAATATAACCTGTTTTGTATTATGCAATCTTTTCTGGTTTATCTACCTGTGGGTTATTTTTCTTTGTTGTCAAAATATATAAAATAACATTCAACCAAGTCCTTTTCCAATGAGAATGAATAAGTACTATGTTCAGTTTATAGACAATAGCAACACAAAATTGGTGGACTAGCCCTTTAGATAAATGGTAGATACTCCTTCTGTGTGCTTCAAAATTTAAAGCATTTGGAAAAAAGTTAAATATTCACTGCCTTTGTGACATAATGAGTTACTTAATTCTTCCATCGGCATTAGTCAAATGAAGTATAGGTAAATGGGATGAAAGTGGAAGAGGGCACTTTAAATTCCAATAGAATGCCTCAGTCTTTACCCAGAACTCCCCTTAAGACTTTGACATTTGTAAAACCAATTTTATGCCATTTGTTCAGATTACCTTTGATTCTTCTCTCTGCTGACATTCATACAAAGCCTGTAGAGAAATATTGGTCCTAACATGCCAAAACTCATTCCTTAAAATGACCCAGATCTGTAATCTTTTAAGTGATGGAAATGTTCTGCTTTCCTCATTTTGATGCTAAAGATCTGTCTTCTAAGTATAAAATAGAATTAAAATGGAAAGAGAGTCTTCACTAACATACAGAGAAGTTCATACGTTCCATGGTCTATTTGGCCATTTTGAACAATTTAAAACTGTTGCAGAAATATTTAGCAATTCTGTATTTCTCTACAACCATTATGAACTGAAGTTGTCATCCATTCAATGATGCCATTTTAATCCTTTATCAAGTTCACTTCCAAAATAATTTATTTTGAAAATGTATGTCAGATTCTGTATCTAATAAAAAACTAGCTTAAAATAATGTGTGTGTTTTGATAAATCTGTTTTCTAGGCATGCTTCCAGAAGAGTGGTGCATCAGTGGTTGCCATTCGAAAATATATCATCCATAAGTATCCTTCTCTGGAGCTGGAGAGAAGAGGCTATCTCCTTAAACAAGCACTGAAAAGAGAATTAAACAGAGGAGTCATCAAACAGGTATTACACAGTTGTTGGTAATAAGATCATTTTATCATGGATTAGCTGTAAGTCCATAGTTGGTAACATTTAGGTTTTTTGTATCTTTTTTGTTGAAAATAAATTATACGATGATATGATTAAGCTTAACCTAATTGTATCTAAGGCTGGGTTTCAAAAACACTGGTGTCAGTTGCTTTTATAGTTAACTGTACTTCTGGAGAACAGAAGCAATAAGGTAGTGTAATTTTTTCTATCTTATTCTTTTTAAAAAAATTTTCTTTAGAGACAGGGTCTTGCTGTGTTGCCTAGGCTGGAGTGCAGTGGCCCAAGCATAGCTCATTGTAACCTGAAATTCCTGGGTTCAAGTGATCCTCTTGCCTCAAGCTTCTGATTAGCTGGGACTACAGGAGTATGCCACAATGCCCTATTAACTTTTTCTATTTTTTGTAGAAAAAAGGTCTTGCTCTTGCTCAGGCTGGTTTTGAACTTCTGGCCTCAAGCAGTTCTCCTACTTTGACCTCCCAAAGTGCTGGGGTTACGGACATGAGCCTCCGTGCCTGGCCTGTTTTACTCTCAATAGGATTTTCTTTGGGAGCTGCTCGTGCTTAAAATCATATAGCACTGAAGATGAGAAATAGGGTGAAGGAATCCTATTGTGACAGCAAAAATGATAATTGCTTTTGTTCTAAGTTTGTTAACTTTAAAGCCTGACTTATGTGACTAAACTTGTTACTATTATAAATTAGCTTTGTAAATAGGTTCACTTTAACTGATCGGTATCTAAACTATTAAAGCCTGTAAGGAGCATCAGAGAAACCTGAATAAATTGAGGCTAATACTAGAAATAGTATTGATTTCAGGCATAAATCCATGTTACCTTGCATAGTGCATGGAAACATTCCTTAGAACCCTAGAAATCTAAAGCTAGAATGGACTATATCCTGTCTTACCCTCTTCAGAGGTCCAGAGTAATGAAATAACCACCAAGGTCTCATGGCAGTGGCAAAGGTGATTCTAAGAACTTAGTTCACCCCATTCCCAGAGTCTTGTTGCCTTTTTATGTCCTTTCTGCTTGGTTTGATTAGTATAGAATTCTGTGCCACTCAGGCTTTTCTTTTTTTCGAGACAAGGTCCTTACTCTGTCACTCTGGCTAGAGTGCAGTGGCATCATCATAGCTCACCGCAACCTCAAACTCCTGGGCTCAAGTGATCCTCCTGCCTCAGCCTCCTGAGTAGCTGGGACTATAGGCACATGCCACCACACTTGGCTAATTTTCTTTATTTTTTGTAGAGATGGGGTCTTGCTATTTCTCAGGCTGGTCTTGAACTCCTGGCCTCAAGCGATCCTCCCGCCTCAGCTTCCCAAAGTGCTAGGATTGCAGGCAAGACCCACCGCGCCCAGCCCCTGATTGCTATGTTGATAGCAGTGTAAGTAAAGCTAAGGTGTGGAGGACTTTGGTTATTGTGAATCAACTTTAAAGTTCTATGAAAGTGCTTTGCAAACTTTGGAAATATGTAGTAAGACTCACACATATCATCAATGTGAAATCTCTAAAAATTTATTAGATAACCTTTCCCATGGAAGTAATAATCTGTAATTGGTGACTATAGGAATTATTGTGGCCTGAGTCTAGGCTCTATACTCTATAGCCAAGGAGCTATCTTCCTTTCAGAACAGTGGACAGTTTTCTCATTTTCCCTAAGAGATTGTGTTCTTTCCTTCCTTCCATGGAACATTTTTGGTGTTTGGTGGTTTTTTTTTTTTTTTTTTTAATTTATAGTAACTAACCTGGTATCACAATAGCATTCTTTCTCAATTTTGTTACATGAGAAAACAAAAATCCAGAGAGTTAACTGGGTTGTTCACTATTATTCAATATTAGCTAGTTGGTCCTATAAATAAGATTCCACCTCAAGTCTTTTGACTCCTCATTCCCTACTTTTCCTCTGAAGAGTTAAACAGCACTTTATGGCCAGGTTTGGTGGCTCATGCCTATAATCCCAGCACTTTGGGAAGCCAAGGCGCGAGGATCACTTGAGGCCAGAAGTTCAAGACCAGCCTGGGCAATATAGCAAGACCCTGTCTCTACAAAAATTTTTTTAAAAAATTAGCCAGGCATGTTGGTGTGCTCTTGTAGTCCTAGCTACTGGGGAGGCTAAAACAGGGAGGGGTGAGGCAGGAGGATTGCTTGAGCCTAGGAGTGTGAAGTTGCTCTGAGCTATGATCATGCCACTGCATTCTAGCCCAGGTGACAGAGCAAGACCCTGTCTCTAAATAAAGAAATAAATAAATAAAAACGAACAGCGCTTTTACTACTTCTTGCATCACCAAGCTCTGTAATTCCCTTAGTCTAGTGTACAGTTATGAGTATTAATACAAGAATAACTTAAAATAAAAATTAATTTACTTTAGGTAAAAGGAAAAGGTGCTTCTGGAAGTTTTGTTGTGGTTCAGAAATCAAGAAAAACACCTCAGAAATCCAGAAACAGAAAGGTAAGAAGTCTGTACCACAGTTTGAGCACTATAATACTGATACTGAAAATAGCAACTTTTATTGAATGTGTGCTTGTGCCTGACTACATGCAAAGTTCAGCCTTTCTACTAAGGCTTGGAAAGGTTATATGTAATTTGCCGAGCTAGTGAGTAGAATAGAGTGCAAATCCAAGCACTTCCAACCACTTAAGCCCATGGTCTTAACTCCCTTATATTAAATTATGAGCAGCTGTATGGATTATACTCCTTTTTGTGAAATATCTTTTACACTAGAAGAAGTGTAAGTACATTTTTACCCAATAATAACCCAAAAACTATACTCAGAGACATTTTTTCTTTTCTTTTTTGTAAATATTGACAACTCCTTCCCCAAGACATATAATTTCATTTGTACAAAGTATTTCTGCAGTAATGAAGTGAAATATATAACATTTCATCTGTGTCAGCAGTTTAAATAATATTTCTTTACACCTTTGTTTTCACAAAAAACTGTGAAGATTTTTGTACTTTTTTCGTAGAATTTTTAAACTTTCAAAATGAACTTTTGTGTAGTACTTTCTGATACTGTATTTCATACTTTGTTATTGAAGGCTAAGGATGAATTTATACCTTTAAAGTCTGCCTTCCATTTTACTTTTATATGTATTTTTAATTCTCTAAATCTGAAGTTTTTGTCTCGAAATTACCACACAAGTAACATTACCACTGTGATGTGATTTATTTGAATATGGAAGAAAGTGATAGTTTTCTGTTTGCCAATTGATTTGGCAGTCAACTGAGAAAAGCCCTTGATTCGTATATAAAGGCATTTATATTGTATAATGATCATAATTTTTGACACTGCATTTCAGCAGAGGAGCTCTGCAGTGGATCCAGAACCACAAGTAAAATTGGAGGATGTACTCCCACTGGCCTTTACTCGCCTTTGTGAACCTAAAGAAGCTTCCTACAGTCTTATCAGGAAATATGTGTCTCAGTATTATCCTAAGCTTAGAGTGGACATCAGGTATGGTCCGTTGGCCTCGACTTTAAAATATGGTGTGTTATTATTAATATTTCCTTAGCAGTTTTTTCATGAGAAAGAAGATAGATTACATATTCCAGAAGGATTACTTTTAGATGAGCTAGGAATAAAACCTTTTTTTGAGAATTTTTTTTTTTTGTCTCATGTTTTTCTTTTCATATCTCTGTTGTTTTCTTTGAAACCTAAACCATATGTTCTTCTATAAGATTCTGCTAGTGTAACTCTTTTCATATTTGTCAGCTATTGGAACATTTAATATTGTACTTGAGAGGCTGAGGTGGGAGGATTGCTTGAGGCCAGGAGTTTAAGACCAGCCTGGACAACATAGCGAGACATCATCTCTAAAAATTTTTTTAAAAATTAGCTGGGCGCACTGATGTCATATGCCTATAATCCCAGCTACTTGGGAGGCTGAGGTGGGAGGATTGCTTGAGCCCAGGAGTTAAAGGCTGCAGTGAGCTATGATTGCACCATTGCACTCCAGCCTGGGTGACAGAGTAAGACCTCATCTTAAAAAAAGAAAGGAAGAAAAAATATATATAATATTGAATTCTATGTGTTCTCATATACTCATGTTTTATTTAGAATTATTGAAAGGATGTGAAATTCATACACAGAGAAAGATTTCTCACACAAAGATTAGGATATGTAGAAGTAAAAATTTGTTTATATTCCCTAGAAAGAAGGAAAGAGAGAGAGAGAGAGATTGAGAGGAGAGGAGGGAGTGGCCACAGCACACAGAGGAAATAGGTGCCGGGCAATGAGGAAAAGCTGCTTTGAGTTTTTAAAGGGTAAAAATGGCTTTCTCCCCCCTCTGCTTCAGCAGACTGATAACAGAAGCAGCTGCAAAGCTGTCGTAGGTGCTCTTTATTTTTTTTCTCTTTGCTCTGTGAGACCAACTTACCTGAGTCTTTGAAATGTGTTTCTGGCAGGAACTGAGGCAGAGTTGGAGCAGGGAGTTCACATCATTACTGTTCACTTAGAGCTCTTTAAGGCTATGAAACAAACTCTCAGAGATAACGAGTTAGGCCATAGATGTTTAATCAAACAAAAGAAGCAAAGGGGACAGTTGTGCTGTGAGTTTTTCTCTTTAAAGGGGCTGTTTCTCATACTTTCTCTTAATAATTTATTTTCCTCTGTTCAATAGGTTATTAGTAAGGCCACCTTTCAATTATAACTAAGAACTTAAGAAAATTCAGGCTTCAATAACAGGTCTACACAGAAATAGCATAATATCTTCATCATTTAAACATATAGTGTAAAATTTGAGAGAATTTTCATAGTAATTCATTTGTAAAAATTGCCATTTAACATCTGGAGTGATCATTTAGATTGTCACATTTACTCAGTTGTGTATTCATGCAGTCATATTAATTTGTTTAAATTTGTCATTCACAGACTTTGAGTTTTGAGTATGTTTGTGTGAGATCTTTGTGATGACTTTTAGAAAATTATGTTTAATACAAAGTTCTTTCTACAGAAGACTACTATATTGAATGTGCATTGTCCTAATTCAGTTTAGTTCTGGTATTTATTTGCATTACTGAGGCATATAATTGGAATTGCTGAGGTTTCAGTCCAGAAGCCACATTTTCAGAAAATCACTTAGTGGTCCTAGAGTACCCAATTAAAGAGTTAGTGAAATAGTGCAAAAGAAGAGGGGAATCGTAGAAGCAGAAAATGTGAAATTAATATCCTGATATTTTCATGCTATTATGCCCTGAGGACAGTGGTAGTAGGCAGACACAACTGTAGATTGGAAATGCATTGTGTGGTACATTTAAAAATGGAAACACATTTCAGTTTTTTCTCCCTTTATTCTCTACTTTTTGGTGACTGGAGACCATATCCTCCCCAGTTTTTTTCTTTCCTTATGGTTCTACTCCACTTATATAAGACACTTTGTTGCTACTGGTGTAACTTACCTCCATGTCTTTTGAAACATACTCTATCATCATCTTATGTTGAAACAGAATTTGCCTGATAATAGATGGGTTGTCAACCCAAAGATGCTAGTTAACCTGAAGACCTTTTCCCACAACCCTAATAAATGGTAATTGTTTCCTTTAAACTCTTTTTTCCCTTTACTTCTGTGAAACCATGTTGATTTTCTCTACCTCTAATTATAGTGGAGTCCTGTCTATACACATTTAACATGAAAATTAAGCCATACTTCTTTAGCCAAATAAAAGAGTGAGAAAAATAGTTTTGAAGTATGAGTTGGCTATATTTGCATCTGTGATTTCTCCCCCCACTTCCTCTTAAACTCACTTTAGTCCTGCTTTATCCCTACGACTTCACCTGAGTACTCCCTCTTGTGAGCTTCCACATTGCAGATTTCAGTGGTCAATTCTAATCCTTAACTCATTGCCCTCTGTCTGTCATTTGACAAGTTGATGACTCCCACCTGCTTAATCATTTTTTTTTCACGTGCCTTCCAGGATACCACAACTTCCTGATTTTCCTCTAACCTTACTACCCCTCCTTTTCGCAATCTCCTAAGTATTTCTTATTAATAGTTCACTACTTAAGGGTGCCCTCAGGGTTGGCTACACCTTAGGCCTCTTGTCTTTTCTCTCCATACTCACTTGGTAATTCATTCCACTCACAAAGCTTCTGACACACATACACACACACACACACCCCGTAGGGTCTCATTCTGTCACCCTGGCTAGAGTGCAGTGGCATCATCATAGCTTACTGCAACCTCAAACTCCTGGGCTCAAGCGATCCTCCTGCCTTGGCCTCCCAGAGTGCTAGGATTACAGGCATGAGCCACCATGCCTGGTCCACTCACACAGCTTTAAATATCACCTATACACTGTTAATTCACAAAGCCCAAACCGCCCTCCTAACCCCAGATTCGTGTATACAGATGCCTATTCAATATTACCACTTGGATGTCTGACTTAAATGTCTAAAACTGAACTCTTGATTCCCACCCCCAAACCAAAGAAAGCCCTGCACCTCCCACATTATCTCCATCTCAGTTAATGGCAGTATCATCTTTCCAGTTGCTAATGCCAAAAACCCTGGCTTTGTGCTGCTCTCTTCTCTTTATCACACACCTACATCTAATCTGTAAGCAATTACTTTGGCTCTGCGTCTAAAATATATCAGTAAACAGAATACTTCTCATTATCTCCACTACTGCCCCTCTCTTCCAGGTGACCATTAGCTCTTACATGTAGTAGAGCAATAGCCTCCTAATTGCTTTTCTCATGCTCTTCTCCAGTTTATTCTTACCATCACAGACTGAGACTTTTAAAAAATGTAAGTTAAACCGTATTACCTTTCTACTCAAACCCTCCACTGGCTTCCCAGCCTCCTCACAGTTAAAGCTAGAGTCTTTAAAATGACCCACAAGGCACTGTCATTGCATCTCTGACCTTGACTACTACTCTTCACTCCCTTATTAGCTTCAGAGCCTTTACATTTGCTGTTCCCTTTGCCTGAATGGCTTTCCCCCTATAATCCGATTTGCTAATTCCTTCACCTCAAATTTTTACTCTAATGTCATCACCATAGGCCTATCTTTACTACTTTTTTTTTTTAATATTATTTTGGCTTATAAACAACAAATTTATTTCTCACAGCTCTGGAGACTGGAAGTCTGAGATATGGGTGCCAGCCTGCAATGGTCAGGTTCTGGGAGGACCCTCTTCCAGGTTGCAGACTGCCATCTTCTCATTGTATATTCACGTGGCAGAAGGAGCCCTTACTACTTTTTTAGATGTTTTATTTAGGAAATTTTCAAACATAACAAAAAAGCAGAGAGAACTTAACCGTCATGATAATCATGATTTCTAACAAAATTAACAATTTCTTAATATTATCTAATATCCATTCCATGTTCAAATGTTCCCAGTTATTTCCACAGTGGCTTTTTACAGTTGTTTTTTTCGAGTCAGCATCCTAACATGGCCCACACATTGCATTTAGTTGATATGACCAACCAAAACTTCTCTCCCCTAAGCATTCTGAATCCTACGTCTCTACCTTGTTTTTCTTCATAGCACTCATATTCTAACATACTATGTATTTTATTTATTTTTTTATTGCTTATCTACCCATAGAATGTCAGATTTTTGAAGGCCAATATTTTTATCTATTTTGTTCACTGCTATTTCTCCAAAGCCTAGCACATAATAGTTGCTCAGTAAATACTAATTGAATAAATGAGTGACATTCAAGCAATTATTTTGGTCATTCCACTCATATGCCTCATGTGAGATAATGCATGAATTTCTTCTTCCATATATTGGAGGCTATAGAGCATTGTGATTAAGAGCACAAGCTTTGGAATCAGACCCCTTAGGTTTAAATCCTATTTCTGTCATTTTCTAGCTTTGTATCTTTGAGTAAGTTACCTCTTGTGTCTTGGTTTCCTCATTGATAAACAGCATATAATTCATAAGGCATAAGTCTTATAGTACGTATTAAACATTTAGAACAGTCCCTGGCACCTAGTAAGTGTTCAGCTAATGTTAATCTTATTAGTCATTCTCAGTTCCAACTTATTTCTCATAGTATGAACATCATACCTTGTTAAATGTGATTCTAATGTTTAAAGGCTTTTTTTTATAATATGCAAATCACCTTCTTAATTTGATGACTGATTTTTTTTTATAACCCTAGAGGAAGAACTGGGCCTGTCACGTTTAGATGGCAACTTTGGTTTGGCCATTAAGGCAGTGTCTTGAAATTTTCTAGGATAGTCTTGTCATGGCATTAGAAATCAGATTTTAAAATCTAATCCTCACCTAAGACATACCTCATACTCTGGTTTTTCTCTTTCTAGTCTTACCAAAAAGTAAACTTAGCCCAAGATTCAGTTTTATGCCTTATACTTTTTTCTAAATATAATAATTTATTTTTTTTATTTAATTTTATTTTTAGGGATAGGGTCTTCACTTTGTTGCCCAGGCTAGAGTGCAGTGGTACAATCATAGCTCACTGCCATCTTGAACTTCTGGGCTCAAGTAATCCCTCCTGCCTCAGCTTCCCAAGTAGCTAGCAGTGTAGTTGCATGCCACCACACTTGGCTGATTTTTAAAAATTTTTTTAGAGACGGGATCTTGCTATGTTGCCCAGGCTGGTTTCAAAATTCTGGCCTCAAGTGATCATCCCACGTTGGTTTCCCAAAGTGCTGGGAGGCCCTAAACATATTAATTTCTTTGGAGATCTCAGACTCCTAAGTTTCAGTTCTTTCTAAATGATTTCAAAGAGACTCTTAATCTTCTTAATTACATCTATGCATTTTTAACAGACTGGTCTTACATTTTGCCTTAGAGAATTCCAGAGTTGGGTGACACTTTAAAGATACCCATTGTTTGTTGAATTACTTGGTTTGGTCACTGTTGTGGTCCAGTGGTAATAAATGATGGGTTTTTTGAGTGCCCTGGCAATTTCAAAGTCGGTTCTGTATGGTACATGGTTCTGTGTGTAAGGGTGTTATTAAGGTTGCCTGCAATTTGTTATTACTTTTCTCTCCATTTTAACAAAGTACTACATATAATAGGAATCAGAACTTTAGATCTGGAATAACCCTGGATCTATTTCTTTAAATTTTTCTTTCATTGATATATTTATCATTATTTTTTGTTTTTCTCTACAGGCCTCAGCTGTTGAAGAATGCTCTGCAGAGAGCAGTAGAGAGAGGCCAGTTAGAACAGATAACTGGCAAAGGTGCTTCGGGGACATTCCAGGTTAGAGGCCAAAGGCTTGATTATAGAGAAGTAGTTCTCAGAAGTTTTTGGTTTCAGAACTTCCTTAGACTCTAAAAATTTATTGAGGAACCCAAAGAGCTTTTGTTTATGTAGGTTATATCTAGCAATATTTACTATATTAGAAATTAAAACTCACTCTGGGAGGCCAAGGCGGGAGGATAGCTCGAGGTCAGGAGTTCGAGACCAGCCTAAGAAAGAGCAAGACCCCGTCTCTACTAAAAATAGAAAGAAATTAGCCAAACAACTAAAAATATATAGAAAAAATTAGCCGGGCATGGTGGTACATGCCTGTAGTCCCACCCGCTTGGGAGGCTGAGGTAGAAGGATGGCTTGAGCCCAGGAGTTTGAGGTTGCTCTGAGCTAGGCTGATGCCACGGCATTCTAGCTGGGGCAACAGAGTGAGAGTCTGTCTCAAGGAAAAAAAAAAAAAGAAAGAAATTAAAACTGAGGGCCAGGTGCAGTGGCTCATACCTGTAATCCCAGCACATTGGAAGGCCCAGGTGGGAGGATCATGTAAGGTCAGGGGTTTAAGACCAGCCTGGGCAACCTAGCGAGGTTTCCTGCCCTCCCCCCCACACCAAAGAAAATTAGCTATGCATAGTGGTATACACCTGTAGTCCTAACTACTTGGGAAGCAGAGGTGGAAGGACCACTAGAGCCCAGGAGTTTGAGGTTACAGTGAGTTGTCATCACACCACTGTACTCCAGCCTGGGCAACAGAGTAAGACCTTATCTCTAAAAATAAATAAACAAATTAAAAATAACAGTAGTAACCCCATTACGTGTTAAATAATACATTTTTTAATGAAAAATAACTATCAGATCCAGGTGTAGTGATGCATACCTATAATCCCAGCTGTTGGGGAGGCATGCTTGAGCCCAGAAGTTTCAAGACCAGCCTAGACAACATAGTGAGGCCCCCGTCTCAATATTTTTTTAAAAAAGGCTGGCACAGTGGTTCACACCTGTAATCCCAGCACTTTGGGAGGCTGAGGCAGGAGGATCACTTGAGGCCAAGAGTTCAACCTGGTGGGTAACATAGCAAGATCCCATCTCTACAAAAAATTTTAAAAATTAGGTGGGCATGGTGGCTAGGGCCTGTAGTCCTAGCTACTTGGGAGGCTGAGGTGGGAGGATTGCTTGAGCCCAGCAGTCTTAGGCTGCAGCTATCTGTGATTGTGTCACTATACTCCAGTCTGGGTGACAGAGTGAGACCCTGTCTCTAAAAACAACCAAAAAACTATTCCTCCCTCCCCCCGCCTTTTTTAATGAGAAGAAGAGGGTCACTGTTAAGACTTTTGCAAATGTTTTAACATCCAGCTTAGAAGACAGCTGGTATCTATCTGTTCCAGTATATTTTGGGTTATGTATGTAAACCAATCTCATACAGAAATACAGTTATAAAAGGGTGGAATATTTTAGGATAACTTTCAGATAGTTGTGTATAGTATTCTTTAATACTACACCAAAACTCAACAAATGGTAGTTTGTTTTTAACAACTTTATTGAATTATTTATATACCATAAGATACACTCATTTTAAGTTACAATTTATAATTCAGTAATTTTTAGTAAATTTTCAGAGTTGTACCACTATCACAGTCCAATTTTAGGACATTTCTGTCATCCAAAAAAGATCCCTTGTGCCCATTTCTAGTCACTCCCGATTCCCACCCCAGCCTCAGGCAACCTACTAGTCTACTTTCTCTCTCTCTAGATTTGCCTTTTCTACACATTTCATATAGTATGTGGTCTTTTGTGTCTGGCTGCTTTTCCTTAGCATAATGTTTTTGAGCTTTATCCATGTTACAGCTCATATGCATGCTTTGATTTTTTTCCCTTCAAATAATATCTCATTGTGTGGATATAATACATTTATCCATTCACAAGTCAATGGACTTTTGGGTTATGTCCACTTTTTAGTTAATTATGAATATTATTGCCTGTGAACATTTATATTGCTGTCTTTGTGTACGTGTATGTTTTTAGGACTTGCTAGGCCATATAGTAAATTTATGTTTTAAGAAACTAGCAGTGTGGCTGCACCATTTTATATTCCCACCAGCAATTTATAAGGGTTCAGGATTCTCCATATTCCCATCAACATTTGTTACTCTCTTTTTTATTATAGCCATTCTAGAGGACATGTGGTTTTGATTGGCATTTCTCTAATGACTACCTAGTGTTGAGCATCTTTTCATGTGCTTAATGGGCATTTGTTTATTTTCTTTGGTGAAATGTCTATTCAAATCTTTTGCCCATTTTTAAAATTGGGTTATTTATTAAAAGAGGTTCCTTATTCTAGATAAAAATCCCTCATCAGATATTTGACTTGCAAGTGTTTTCTCCTATTCTGTGGCTTTCTCATTAGTATCTTTTGAAGCACAGAAGTGTTTAGTTAATTTTGATGAAGCTCCATTTATCATTTTTTAAAAATTGCTTATGCTATTGATGACTGCTAATTTTGTTTAATGTTTTATAGTTTCTTTTATGAGTTTTACAGTTTGGGCACTTATATTTAGATCTATGATCCATATTAAGTTTTGTTTATAGTATGAGGTCAGGTTTTTAATTTATCTTTTTGCATATGGTTATCCAGTTGTCCCAGAACCATGTATTGAAAAGACTATCCTTTCCTCATTGAATTGCCTTGGCACCTTATCAAAAATCAATTGACACTCTAGCCCTGGCAACAGAGCGAGACTCTGTCAAAAAAAGAAAAAGAAAAGAAAGCCTCTTTTATTTTTAAAAAAAAGTATAAAAAAATTTTTTTAAAAATCAATTGACCATAAATATAACAGTTTATTTCTAGACTCTCAATTGTGTTTCATTTGTTTCATATGTGACTCCTGATGCCAGTACCACACTGTCTTGGTGACTATGGCTTTATAGTGTGTTTTAAAATTTTGAATTTTAAATTCACTTTTTCAAGAATGTTTTGTCTATTTTGCGTCCTGTGCAATGCCATACAAATCTCAGGCTCCGCTTGTCAATTTCTGCAATCAATCAGTCAGTTAAAAAAAAACAGCTGGGATTTTTGGTAGGCATTGCATTCAACCTGTAGATCAATTTGAAGTGAATCACTCTCTTTACAGTGTTGGATTCCAATCCATGAACATTGAATGTCTTCTTAATTTCTCTCAGCAGTATTTTTATTAGTTTTCAACATACAAGTGTTTTGTTAAATTTATTCTCCAGTATTTTATTCTGTTTCCATGCTATAGTGAATGGAAGTGTTTTCTTATTTTCATTTTCATATTGTTCTTGCTAGTTTATAGAAATATAATTGATTTGTCTGTTGATCTTGTATACTGCAACCTTGCTGAACTCTTTCTCAAAGTGTTTTTGTGGATTCCTTATAATTTTCTACATACAGGATCACGTTACCTGCAAATAAAGACCATTTTACTTCTTCCTTTCCAATCTGGATGTCTTTTACTTCTTTTTCTGGCCTGAATATTCTGGATAGAACCTTTAATACAGTGTTGAATAGAAGTGGTGAGAGCAGACATTCTTGCCTTGTTCCCCATCTTAGAAAGCATTCAGTCTTTCACCAGCTGGTAGGTTTTTCATAGATACCTATTTTCAGGTTGAGAAAGTTCTCTTCTACATTACTAGTTTGGTGGGAGTTTTTATCCTGAAGGACTGTTGAATTTGTCAAATGCTTTTTCTGTTTCTATTGAGATAATTGTGTGGTTTGTGTCCTTTATTCTGTTAATGTAATCTGTTATACTGATTGACTTTATAATTCTTAAAAGGTTAGTTGCCGTGTGGAACCTGAAACCATATCAGTGAATTTCTTATACTGTGTTACCTCAAAATTCATTGGTCTGTCTTGCACTTTGAATAGATTTTTTAACCATGCATAATTGTATAACATAATGCACTGGTCATTTGGAAAATAGTGGCTTACTGGGTTATGCAGATTTTCCAAATGTTGGCATTTCATCATACAATGACAAAAATCACAGTCATTGGTATCAGCCATTGATCTCACAAGAACAGTATTTTAAGCATTGGGAAGATAACAAGCTCACAATGATAGATACAAATTTTCCGCAATTTAAATTTTCACGTGAAAGGTTGAATTTTATCATAATATTGTTTGGCTTGAAGTGACAGGCTCATTTAATTCATTTTCAAGATACTGTCTACCCCATACCCGTGTCTGAATAACCATAGTTTATCTGTCAGTTATTTCATCAAGTAAAAAAGGTATTACAAGAAAAGTGCAACTAGTTCAACTCCCAACTCAATGACAGAGGTACTTCTCCTGAAGACTGTCATGCATCTGTATGTAGCAGTGATATTTTGTGTTCTCCCTGTTTCATCCCATAAAATATTAAAAAGATACACACTCAAGGGTTCAGATGTAATAAAATGATTTTTACTACTTTATCAAAGGCACTCCTAAGTGAATTGGTGCTATTTTTTTTAAAACCATAATGCACAGCAGTAAGGAAGACAATAACCACATTTTTGTGCCCGTACCTCGATTTGTGGTAAGGTGGCAGCAGTTTTACAGAAGCAACACCGTTGCTTCTGCACTATCAGTGCAAATGTCGACGCAGTGAAAAAAACCAAATCACTATTTAGTTTTATTATGAAAATAGGTTTGACCTTGCAGATCCTCTGAGCGGGTCTCAAGAACCCCCAGAAAGTTGTGGACCAGTCTTCAAGAACCACTTAATCACTGTTGTAGAATATTCCTAATTTTTTCCTTTTTCCTTTTGCTTATTAGTACTAACCTTTATTCCCCAGCCTTTCATCCTCATAATATGCTGTATAATTTTCTGTTGTATGATATATTTATCAAAATTTTCCTTTGCTATTTTTCTTATAGGATTAACAAGGCTACTTATTATTTTTATCACTACAACTGACTCTTGAACAATGTAGAGGTTGGGGGACTGATCCCTGCCCCCTTCATGGTCGAAAATCTGCATATGACTTTTGATTCCCCAGAAACTTAACTACTAACAGCATACTGTTGACCAGAAGCCTTATTGACAACATAAATACTCAGTTAACAACATATTTTGTATGTTGTATGTATTATATACTGTATTACAATAAAGTAAGCTAGAGAAAAAATGTTAAAATCATAAGGAAGAGAAAATATATTTATTATTCATTAAATGAAAGTGGGTCATCATAAAGGTCTTCATCTCGTCTTCATGTTGAGTAGGTTGAAGTGGAATTGGTCTTGTCGTCTCAGGGGTGGCAGAGGCAGAAGAAAATCCACGTATAAGTGGACCTGCACAGTTCAAATCCCTGTCGTTCAAGAGTCAGCTGTACTTCATCTTTCAGATTCAGAAAAAGGAAGTATTCTCAAAAGAGTCTTAATTTATTGGGGTTATAACAGGTTGACCTTTTATAGGGGTGGAGCTGTCAGTATCTTTGAGTTAGATTGGCTATTGCTATTTTAGGGATGATGGAGGGGTAAATGGAAGGAGGAATATCCATATGAAGGTTAGGACTCCTCAGTTAGATTGAATACCTGGTAAATGGAAGAGAAAGTCCCTAACCTGACAATTTATTGTAAAACGTATCTGTGCTAATGCAGGAACTCCGACCCACCTGGTGCAGAGGAGTCTTGTCTTGACCTGCTTTGGGAGAGTGTTGTCTTGATGCTTTTCTCTTCCTCCTTGGAAAACAGCTGAAGAAATCAGGGGAGAAACCCCTGCTTGGTGGAAGCCTGATGGAATATGCAATCTTGTCTGCTATTGCTGCCATGAATGAGCCGAAGACCTGCTCTACCACTGCTCTGAAGAAGTATGTCCTGGAGAACCACCCAGGGACCAATTCTAACTATCAAAGTAAGACTCAGAGTTCCATGCATTTAACTGGGATTAGGGGAATTTTCTTTTGAAAAAACCTTAGAGATCTTGCTATTAATGTCAAAGTGTTAACTACTGACTCCCCAAACCAAGAGAGAATAGCTTTACAATTTTTTTTTTCTTTTTCTTTTTTTAATAAACAGGGTCTTGCTCTGCTGCCCAGGCTAGAGTGCAGTGGCACAATCGTAGCTCACTGCAGCCTTGAACTCCTGGGCTCAGGTGATCCTCCATCCTCTTCCTCCCGAGTATCTAGAACTACAGGTGTGGGCCACTGCACCTGGCTAATTTTTGTATTTTTCATAGAGATGGGGTCTCCTGTTGTCCAGGCTGGTCTTCAACTCCTCGCCTCAAGTGATTCTCCTGCTTTGGCCTCCCAAAGTACTGGGATTATAAGCATGAGCCACCATGCCCAGTCACAAATTTATTATTTACAAAAAGAAAAGCAGAAATAATCAAGATTTACCCTTAATTTACAGTGTCTACTGATCAGAAGTTAATTTTATTTCCTGTGAAGTTTTTCTGATACATATTTTTATTATAATTTAGATAAATCTCTAGGTTCAAAACACCTCGCAGTTACATTTTTGCCTTTTTTTTTTTTTTTCCCAAACGGGTCTTGCTCTGTTTCCCAGACTAGGGTACAGTGACATCATCATAGCTCACTGCAACCTCAGACTCTTGGGCTCAAGTGATCCTCTTGCCTCAGCCTCCCAAGTAGCTGGGACAACAGGTGTGCACCATCACACCTGGCTAATTTTTATATTTTTTATAGAGATGAGGTCTCGCTATGTTGCTCAGGCTGGTCTTGAACTCCTGGCCTCAAGCAGTCCACCCACCATAGCCTCCCAAAGTGCTAGGATTACAGGCATGAGCCACTGTCCCTGGCCTGTGTACTTAATGTATATATATTGTGTTTAATTATGCATGTTGACCCTTATAAACTCTTTCATGATTTTGTCTGTTGGCTAAGTATTTTAAGAGATGAATTTGGACTGGGCGCGGTGGCTCACGCCTGTAATCCTAGCACTCTAGGAGGCCGAGGCGGGCGGATTGTTTGAGCTCAGGAGTTCGAGACCAGCCTGAGCAAGAGTGAGACCCCGTCTCTACTAAAAATAGAAAGAAATGATCTGGATAACTAAAAATATACAGAAAAAATTAGCCAGGCATGGTGGCGCATGCCTGTGGTCCCAGCGACTCAGGAGGCTGAGGCAGGAGGATCGCTTGAGCCTAGGAGTTTAAGGTTGCTGTGAGCTAGGCTGATGCCATGGCACTCACTCTACCCAGGGCAACAGAGTGAGACTCTGTCTCAAAAAAAAAAAAGATGAATTTGGTTAACAATTTTTTCAGTTTTATGATTTGGCAGCTGGTTTTTGATGCTGAATCACCATAAAATATATTTTTTAATAGGTCTTTGTAAGAAAGATGATAATTGATGCCTTTAGGAGCCACAATATTGTTTTGTTACTATTTGCTGATTTATGAAGAATTGGTTTTGTTCATCTTCTTAAGATACTCTCCTAGATGATTATCAATACCTAGGTATACAATAGATGTTTAAAGGAATGAAAATAATGAGAAATATAGTTTTAGGTCTACTATTGACCATTTATGTGCTATCTTAGGGTAGGTTACTTAACTATTCTGGGCTCAAGTTGCTTAACCATTCTGGGCTCCTATTTCCTTTTTTTTTTGAAATGAGGAATTTAACTCAATGGTCTCTAATGTGTCTTTCTATCATAATTTAACTCTTGCCAAATTTATCGGCACTAAATAAATGTTTAATGAATTAATAGCTTTGACCATGGAAGATTCACTTAGCACATGTCAGTTACTGTGTGTGACAGGACATTGAATTGGTGGGCATCTAATTGTGGTTGAGAGACTTATCAGATCTGAATAACTTCATTCCTGGATTTTTTGTTCAGTGCATTTGCTGAAGAAAACCTTGCAGAAATGCGAAAAGAACGGGTGGATGGAACAGATCTCTGGGAAAGGGTTCAGTGGCACCTTCCAGCTGTGTTTTCCCTATTACCCCAGGTAAGCATTTAGCCTCTAATAGGTCATTGTAAATTTAAAATCTCATTCCAGACTATAGGCTTGGTTTAACGTATTTTACCCTTATTACTGTTATACTGAACCGGAAATACAGTCATCCCGTAGTATATGAGGGGGATTGGTTCCAGGACCGTCCACGTATACCCAAGCCCACGCATACGCAAATCCACAGTCAGCCCTGTGGAACCTACATATCTGAAAATTTGGCCTTCCATATACACAGGAGTTTACATCCTGTGAATATTATATTTCTGATCTGTGTGTGGTTGAAAAACATCTGCATATAAGTGGATTATGCAGTTCATATAAGAACAGGGGAGTTTTGGCTATCCTGCTAGAGCTTATTCTTAGCCAGCTGTTCCTGAAATAAACATCAGATTCTTTTAGATCCTTGGATGGTCATTTTGATCTTCATTCCTTCTTTATCAAGTAAATGATAATGAAAAAAAGACTATTGAAGGATTATATATGTTTTAATTTTCCAATACCAAATGGGGAGGACATTGACTATTTATAAGAATTCTAACTCTACCTTCTTCATACTTTAAAGACAGGGACATTTATTTGAAAACTTGTCTTGTATATACCTTACTTATTCATCGAAAACAAAAAAATGTATTGCGCGCCTCCTGTGGGCCAAGCATTGTTCTGTGCACTGGTGCTATAGCCTTCTTATGCTTTAATTTCCAGTAAAGTGCCATGACACATACACTAAGACCCTATTTTAGCAAGACTATGGTGTAAAGTTACTTATGCTTTGTGTACAATTGTGTTACTTGGCGGAATGCTTATTATATGAATTTTCAAATGTTAAACATTAAACTTAATTCTCAAAGTACACACATAAAATGTTATAATTTTCCAGGAGTGGTGTTATACACCTGTAGTCCTAGCTACTTAGGAGGCTGAGGTAGGAGGATTGCCTGAGCCTGTTGAGTTCAAGTCCAGCCTGGGCAACATAGCAAGACCCCATCTCTAAAATAAATAAATACATATATAAAGATTTCATTATCTTAAGACATATTAAAGGAATCAAGTTTTCTATTTAGAGCAAAGATGAGTTAGGGGATCCTTGCCGAATTTCTGGACAACTTTGAAGAGATTCAGTCTTTTGAGATCTGTTGACAGTATTATAAGGGCAAAATGTGTACATTGCTATGCAATCTGTTCTCTGCTATGTACCCATTGGCTAATATAGTGCCAGACACATATTAGGAATTTAAGTAATTGTTTACTAAACAAATGATTAAGGATCTTTTTTTTTTTTTTTTTTCTATAAAAGTTTTATTGTTCAGAGAGGGGAGGGGGCTTAGTCCTTCTTGGCAGCCGCTTTCCTCATTGTGGCCAGGACGTTGCTTCCTCTTAGCATGGATGTGTGTCCCCACCCTTTTCTTGATGTACTTGAGGGCCCATTTGTCATTGGGAGACCTTGAGCGGCTCCATGACCTGCAGCTCATACAGGGCAAAGCCACTCACCTCTTGGATCTCGGATCACATTCCCCACAAACTTGGTGTGTTTGGTGTGAGGTGCCCGCAGCAGCGGTTGTGCCTTGGCTCATGTTCTTGGTCACCTTGTGGCCCTTGTCGAGGCCCACAGCCATGAGGTAGCGCAGGCTCTCCAATGGCTGCTGCGGCAGAAGGCAAGGATCAGTTTTATTAATGGTCAGAGGATGGGAATGAGGTATGATTTGGGACTTTTATAGATTTGTCATAACTTCTTATGTGTATTCAAAATAGGTTAAATTGTAAGCTTACATATGTAACCTAAGTTGACATTTTGGGTGGAGGTTGGGAAGAAGTGGAGAATATCCAGGGAAGAGCATCTAGGTTCACAATTATTTTCCTTGTCTTGCATGGGACTTGTGTTTTACCTAATCTTTTTTTCTCCCCCCACAGCCCAGGAGTTCTATTTCCAAAGAAAGAGCCAGATGATTCTAAAGATGACGATAACGATGAAGATGAGTCATCAGAAGAAGACTCTGAGGATGAAGAGCCACCACCTAAGAGAAGGTGTGGATGTGTGAAAATCTCTTCTTGTGGAGAAGATAATAAATATTTTAGAGCTGAAAATAGTACTAATAGGAGGGGCTCAAGATAGAAAATATTTTGATGCTCAGGATCCTTCTCAGGTTGTGTATAACATTTGAATTTAACTTCTCCCTTGAAAAATTCAGGGGCTCTGAACTTACGAAGCACTGTGAGTACATCATTTACTCTTTGTTCAAACCTATGTATATCCATAGTTTAGTTATTCAAAGAAAAGCAATTCCATATTGCCCTAGGAAAAATATCAGGAAATTATGTGTACACACCCATAAATTGGTTGAATTTTTATACAGTTTTAGTAAAGCTCTAGTAAAAAATTAAGTCACATTTCTATTCTTAACACAGGTGACTTCTTATGCTATTTCTCCTCATCTGGTTGCCCCAGCAAAGACAGTTTCTCATGTATTAGGTCAGGGGTCCCCAGCCTATGGTGAATTGTATAATTATTTCATCATATATTACAGTGTAATAATGATATAAGTAAGGTACACTTGTGCTTGAATCATCTGGAAACTGTCACACACACACATATGATACACACACACCCTGTGTGTGGAAAAATTGTCTTCCATGAAAATGGGTCCCTAGTGCCTAAAAGGTTGGGGACCACTGAGTTAGGTTATTAAGTATGAAATGTCTGATTTCCTTAAGTACTAAGTTTGACAGTTGATATCTCTGACATTTCACTTTGACACTTCTTATTTTATTTTTATCATGAAAGCACATCTTCAGTCTTTCAAATGCATAATTTGGCTTGTGATGATCCTTCAAATTTTTTTTTAAAGCAATTGTTGTGAAACCATGGGTAAGTCAAAAATTCATGTTATTTTCAAATATGAGTTCCATCATGGAACCAGTGCAGCACAGACAGCTCAAAATATCAAGCATCTGAGAAGATGTGGCTAATGAACCTACAGTATGTCGATGGCTTGAGAAAGAAGTTCCATTCTGGTGATTTAAATCCTGAAAATGAGCCACATGGGCGACCTGAGACCAAGGTGGATAATGATGAGCTGAAAGCTGTAGTGGAAGCGGATCCATCTCAACCTAAGTGTGAATTAGCAGCAAGCTTTGATGTTACTATTCTAACAATATTGGACCATTTGAAACAAATTGGCAAGGTAAAGGAGCTGGATAGAGGGTTACTGCATGAATTAAATGAGCATCAGAAGAGAAATCTTGAAGCTTGCCTTTCTTTGCTGTCACAACATAAAGGCAAACCATTTCTACACTGTATTGTTACATACGGTGAAAAATGTATTTTTTTTTGACCATCGCAAGTGTTCAGCACATGACTGGATAAAAATGAACTGTCGAAACACAGTCTAAAACTGAATATTCATCAAAAAAAGCTAATGGTGTCTGTTTAGTGGTCCAGTGCTGGTATTTATCCACTACAGCTTCCTGAAACCTGGTCAATCGATTACAGTGGGTGTCTACTGCAGCCAGTTGGATGAAATGATGAAGATATTTGTGATGAAGTAGCTGAGATTGGTCAGTAGAGACATGCCAATCCTCTTCCTAGACAATACTCAACCACATGTCACATAAACAACACCACTCAAACTACAGAGGCTGGACTTGGAAACTCTCTGTCATCCACTGTATTCACCAGACCTTGAACCAACTGACTACCACTTCTTCCAGCCTTTGGACCACTTCTTACAAAGGAAAAATACTCAATTCTCAGCAAGCTGTAGGAAACACCTTTCGTGATTTTATCGCCACTTGCTCTCCAGGCTTTTTTGCTGCTGGCGTAAACAAGCTACTGTTAAGATGGCAAAAGTGTGTCATTAGTTTAAGCGCATACTTTGATTAATTGTACTGCTTTTTGTTTGAGATATAATAAACTAAACTTTTGATTCAAAATTGGACATTTCATATTTAATGACCTAATACTAAGTGATTGCCTTTGCTCTTTGGTTCTTGCAGGTTGCAGAAGAAAACCCCAGCCAAGTCCCCAGGGAAGGCTGCATCTGTGAAGAAGAGAGGATCCAAGCCTGCACCTAAAGTCTCAGCTGCCCAGCGGGCGAAAGCTAGGCCCCTGCCCAAGAAAGCCCCTCCTAAGGCCAAAACTCCAGCCAAGAAAGCCAGACCCTCACCCTCAGTCATCAAGAAACCTGGTGGCGGCTCTTCAAAGAAGCCTGCAGCCAATGTGAGAAAGGAAGTGAAATTGCCTGGCAAAGGCAAATCCACCGTGAAGAAGACTTTCAAAGCAAAAAAGTAAATTTTATAGGAAAAAAGGGTATCATGACAAAATTAAAAATCTTATTTTCTAAGGTCAGTGTGCATTTGTTTTAGTTTTTGATGCTTTTAAAATTACATTGTTTTCCTCCCCTGTGAACATTGTGGGGAGAGAATATAAATGAACCAGTTTAGGCATTTGTTAGCTTTAGGTGCTGTTCTTGGTGCCTGCCCCTTCCCTCAGTCATTTTAATTTCTGCAATAATCCTGGACTTTCGTAAACTATGTAATCTATACTTGTCCTTTTTGTTCTCCTTATCCCAACCCCCATTTGTTTTTATGGTCAGCTTTGACTTTCTTTTTTCCTTCCAGTTTTCTCTAAACATTTGCAAAGATTTTTATATTTGTAGAAAGCATCAAGAACAGTATGCTGGTCAGGTGCTGGAAGTAAAAAGGAGGCAGTATAGCACCGACTGAGTATGTAACGCCTCTTGCCTAGAGATTTCAGTTATAGCTGTAATAATTAATCTTATTTATAAAAACCACTCCACTAACCCTTTCTCTCCAACTATAAACACAGAGACAGCTTTGGGAATAAGCCAAAAAGTATGATCTCATTAGATTTTGAAGATGCATGACTCCTTTGGGTCACTTTTCACATTGATTAATTTCCAGGTATTTTTCACCAGCCCATAGCATTGCATTCCCTTAACAGCAAGCACAAGTTCTCTATACCACTTGGTTTTTGAGCGAAGAGGAAGTATAGGAATATATTGAATCTGTGATTTCTGGTGTCACCTATGTTACCAAAAATCAAAACAAATCTTGATCAGATGTTTAAATATATTTTTTAATATTTGGAGCATCAGTTGTCACTTCCTGTTTGCCTTTTTTATAAGGAAATGTTGGAGAGTTACATCATTGCTAATGTAGAAATTTAAGTGGAAAAACATACAATTTGCTAAAATAAACTAGATTCCAGATTCATCTGTGGGTTTTTTTCCCTTCTTTTCTTTCCACAGCACTTTTGATATCAAGCAAGTGGCTTCCTTTTTGAAATACTAAAAAAAAAAAAGGAAAAACAAATGAAGCCCTACTACCTAACCCTTTCTTATTTGTATTTGTTTTAGTATTGTGAAGTTGTGTTAAATAGTACTAGCTTTCTACTTGAGAAATACCAATTTCTGGTTATCATTTCTCTTCCCTGTGGCACTTGACATTTTAATTGTCTTAAACTTCTTGGCGTACATCTTCTGGCCCCTTGAGTGCTGCCAGAGGCAAAAAATGTTTGTTTCTTATTCATTCCACTTGCATTGTTTCCTGGGATCCCTTCTGTAGCCTAAAGTATGGCTGAGAAATGGACTTGAGAAGATTGGCTTGAATTAGGTCATAATCATGTGTGATCCCATCATGAGTTCATTGGAATTTGTGTTGCATGTAAGGCAATCTTTCCTGTTGTAAATCTTCCTTTTTTTATGTACATATATTTTGAAAAATATGAATAAACATGAAATTTTAAAAGCTGCTGAACTGTAGCTTATATTTAAAAGTTTCTAGTATTTCCTCAGAAGTAGCTAAGTGTTGCCCTCACTTTAGCCTTTTCTGTTCCTTGCAGTGGACACTGTCATTTTCCTTTTTAAATACAAGCTCCAGTTTATTTGCTTTTGATGTTTCTAGTTATGGTGAATGCTGATGATTTAGTGAATCGGGTTTAAAAATATTTTGTATTTTATTAAGGACTATTTTAAAGATCCTAGAGTCCAGTCTTTCATGTTCAAATATTCGATGTTCAGATTAAGTCCTTGGACTAGAAAAAATTATAGCACTGCAAAGCATAACAGATACACCCTAATTCTAGAAAGTAATTCTAATTTCTCTTGTGCTATTTAAATAGCAACTAACGATTCTTAATAGTATGAGTATATATGTACCTGTGCTCAGAATTCTCTTCTGGAATCAAAAGTTGGAGGATATGGATTGGTTTCTTTGTTTTATGATATTGCTTTTAAGAAGATTTACTGAATAATCACCTGGTGGCTGTATTGTACATCAAGCACCTAAGTGTAGGGTGAAAAGTTTAGATTTAAGGTCCTTTCCAACTGTGACATTCTATTAACTACATGGATAGTTTGCTTCATATCATGTAAAGGGAAAAGACAAAAGGGTCATTGCTCTTTTCAGTGAAATCGTCAACTGTCAAAGACATGTACCTTACTTGCAGGAGATAAAGGAATGCTTGATTTTTTCCTTCTAGGCATTCTAAATGAGCAGAACACATTTATAATTTTTCCTTCTGTTACAGAAAGGGGAATGACAAACCTAAGAGGTAATCCCAGAAATCTCTAGCATGGATCAATAGCTTCAGTACTCTGTTGGTGGCTTAGTGAGCTCATTTACAGTGTTTCATACACTCTAAAACTACATATAAGCTAGCTTTGATAAATGAATCTCAGAAAGTGCTGGGAGATGGATCGTCAGCTTCTTAACCTACAAAATGAGAAAGAAAAGATACCATTGCTGAAATCATGGAGACCTTTCCTTAGTCATGTGACAAAAGCATTCAACACAGATGGAACCACATTCTAACTATCTACATGGACTTAATTAAAGGAATAAATTTTAGATATGTGTTTTTCTTTTTCTTTTTTTTTTTTTTTGTTTTCAAGACAGAGTCTTGCTCTGTCGCTCAGGCTAGAGTGCCATGGCGTCAGCCTAGCTCACAGCAACCTCAAACTCCTGGGCTCAAGTGATCCTCCCACCTCAGCCTCCGAGTAGCTGGGACTACAGGCACGGGCCACCACGCCCTGCTAATTTTTTCTATTTTTAGTAGAGACCGGGGTCTCACTCTTGATCAGGTTGGTCTCAAACTCCTTACCTCAAGGGATCCTCCTGTTTTGGCCTCCCAGAGTGCTAGGATTACAGGCGTGAACTACCGTGCCTGGCCCCAGATGTGTGTTTTAATCATGTCTAACAGGGAAATCACATGAAAACAAGAGCTAAACAATATGTCAATACCTTTGACATTTTTTCCATCATTCCTCTTTTACCAAATTTTGTCAGCCCTAGTCAAGATTTCCTAACCTATTCTTAAATTCTTAAAGAGCCAGTGAAATTATTCTTAGGCTCAGATACTCTTGCCATCCTGAGATGTCAGAAGAAAGAAATTAAACCAGCCATATTCATTAACTACTGCATTTAACCTGAGAGAAATATTATCTATTTATCTATCTGTTTAGAGACGGTCTTAAGTCTGTCACCCAGACTGGAGTGCAGTGGTGTGATCATAGCTCCCTGCAACCTCAAACTCCTGGGCACAGGTGATCCTTGCACTTTGGCCCCCCAAGTAGCTGGGACTCCAGGCACGCTCCACCCCTCCTGGCTAATTTTTAACTTTTTTTTTGGTAGAGATGGGGTCTCACTATGTTGCCCAGACTGGTTTTGAAGCCTGGGCTCAAGCCATCCTCCCGCCTCAGCCTCCAAAAGTGCTGGGATTATAGTCGTGAGCCACCATGTCTGGCCAAGAAACTTTAGGATTATAATTAAAATTTCCCATCTTTGGAACCTGAAAAATCATATTAATTATCTCTCTTTGAGTTAAGCAAAAATTCTAGTTTTACCCATGAAAGGAGAGAAATTCTATTCTTAATTGGAAAAAGACCATCAAACTATTTCCCTGGAGGCTGTGATTGACATTACTTCCTAGCATGCAGAGTTGCTTTTGCATTTTCTTGGTGGAACAGATGGTCACTCACTTCTGCAGAGCTAAGCTAAAGACCCAGAACTATTTAAACTCTTGGCTTAGAACCACTTGACAAAGATGTGCTTAGAAGCCATTGTAGATGGCCCAGTGGTATCCCTCATCCGTTGTGTTAACTAATCTCTACCATCTTTCCTATATTCTTTCCTTTCCTCTGTCATTTTCCATAAGTTTTTTAATGGCTTTTTGGGGGGTTTAGAAAAACTTCTACATTTGATGATTCACTTTTATAAGCTTCATTTTAACTTTTCTTAAGTTTGTTTTGTCAACAACTAATGTGTCAAAGGAGGCCTAAAAAGGCTCCTTCCCAAGCTGTTTTCTCAAAAATTACAACTCTTTTTTCTCCTATTGTGTATAAATGTATAATTAACACTATTCGCTATTAAATATTTGCTTAGCAAAGAGAACTTTCTCTAAGGTGCCTTGAATATGTCTGATAAAGTAAATTTGGCTTATTTAATATAAATAATAATGGTAATAACTAACACTGAGTTTCTTCCACATGTCAGGCTCTGTATATATATTATCTCATTTAATCTAGCAACCCTATGAGATGGTCATTTTTTATTACCCCCATTTTACAGAAGGGAAAACTGAGGTACAGAGTATGGTTCAGTAACATGCCCCAGGTCATAGTAAGTGGCAAAGCCAGAATTAGAACCCAGGCACTGAATGCAGGTCCATCTTGATTGTCTCCCCTTGCTAATTTTTCAAGCTTCTGAATTCTCCCTTGTCATGCAGCCCAGTGACTCCATATTCTGCTCATGGAAGAGAATGGACTTGTTTAATAGTACAGAGGACTTGGCAATGAAATTAAGTCAACTTTCGCTAATAAGTCAGTGTGGCTGTTGTTTTAAGTTTGATGACTCAAAATTAGACTTTGGATTACTGGGAGATACTATCTCAGCTGCCCTAAAGGTTTTTTTAGGACCCTGTACTCAAATTCTCACAGATATATTCTCAAAGATATATGAAATTATCCCCCATTTTTCAGAAGCAAGTAAATGTAGCTAATTTTCCCCAAATTAAACGTAATGAGTGATGGAGTTAAACTCAGGCTTGACTGACTGACCACTCATCTGTTCTCCATGCCTCAGTGGTTTAGCACACTAATAGCTCAGGCAGCAGAGCCTCTGGCAACAAGGGACAAGAGAGTCACGCCGTAAGATGAGTGGGCATTGGTTCCTAGATTTTTTTTCTGATAGGTTATCAGGTTTTTTAACTGCTAAGAGGTTATTTAAAGATGAGCAAAAAAAAAAAAAAATCCAATACAGCCTTGAGTTTCAAAAGGAGAGGAGGAGAAGCCAGGTGGGCTAGAGATGTGAGTCCCTTTGCAGCTGTGGCCACCAGAGGCCTGGGCAGCCCTCGGCTGGTTCCCCTGGCCGTGTGGATGCAGAGGAGAGCTATAGAGAAAACCAAAAGCTACTCCATGTGTATCTTTCTTTTTAATCTCTATTAAAGATTGCGAGCTGAAGTTCTTCAGCATAGGCATTACTTGAGTATTTGGTATTACCGCCTTTCCTTATTTTCTGAAATGCATCCCTCGGCCTCCTATTTTGTCCCTGACAACAACGTTTCTAACAAGTGTTTCTGAGAGGGGCAGTCCTCTTTTTTTATACCTGTACTTTGCAGTTGGGAAAGAACTAGAAACCATTCCTTGTTCTCCAGCTGCTCAGATGGGGTACAGGTAGGAACAAGATAAACATGGTGCCTCTTTCTGGAGCGCCAGTTTTATTCAAAGATGTGGGGGGCGGGTGCCATTATGTAAATGGCAACATTGAAGCAAATGGAAGGGAACCCAAAGTCCACAGGCGCTGATGAGATGGAAAGTGATTTCCCAGAGATAAAGCGGCAGGAGCAGTTTAGGCAGGCTCTACCGCCTGACGCCCAGGGAGAGCGTGTTCACTCTCCTTGGAAAACGCCAGAAGCGGTGGCTGGGCCCCTCCAAGAGGGTGAGTCCACTGTGGAACCAGAACTAGCAGCATGACCTCAGGCAAGGCACTTTAACCTTCTGGTTCTCCACGGGAAAAGCGACTTGAACTAGATTAGATCATCTGTTGCAGCTCTCGCAGCTCTGACATTTCTGATATTTCTCCAATACTGCAACCTCCACACTGTCCGCCAACCAGAAGAATATGCAGGGAGAGGAATTGGGCGGTACAGAGTCAGTCGTGGCCTGTTTCCTGCATGGCTGAAAAAGAATCTTACTTTAATCGCCGTCTAGATTAGTTTGTTAGGGAGCTGTAACAAAATGCCACAGATTGGGGGGGCTTCAGAGAAATTTATTGTCACGGTTCTAAAGGGTAGATACCTGAAATCAAGGGGTTGGCAGGGCTGGTTCCTTCGGAGGGCCCTGAGGGGAGGATCTGTTCTAGGCCTCTCTCCTTGGCTTAGAAGTGGTTGTCTTCTCTCTGTACTTTTCTATGTCCAAATGTCTTACGAGGACACCATTGGATGTAATATTGGATTGGGATGTGCATCAATGACCTCATTTTAATTTAATCCCCTCTCTAAAGACCCTATCTCCAAATACGGTTACATTCCAAGCTCCTGGAAGTTAGCACTTTAACTTCCAGGTTAAAGGGGGACATAATTCAGCCCGTAATACTATTTTAGAACTTTTCAAAAAATCTGTGTTTGGCCGGGCGCGGTGGCTCACGCCTGTAATCCTAGCTCTCTGGGAGGCCGAGGCGGGCGGATCGTTTGAGCGCAGGAGTTCGAGACCAGCCTGAGCAAGAGCGAGACCCTGTCTCTACTGAAGATAGAA